CCCCCACCCCCCGTAGCAGGTCTGTTCCCTATCGGCTGCTCGGCCCAGCTCAGGGTCTGCAGGCCAGACCGAGCGACCCTCACCGTTCTTTCCGGGATCTTCAAGTGAAGTCACAATTAATGCAAATATGAAAAAGAAATAAACTCCGGAAGTTTCCAGTGGTCACACCAAGGGGGCAAGACCAACCTGACAAGGATACCATAGAACCTGTGCTAAAGGGCAGCGGAGCCCAGGCCACGACCCGACATGAGCTGGTCACACTGGTGCTTAGACCAGGGCCCACTGGAGCGCGGGGCAAGTTCACAGGATTCTGCTCTCGCCACCCCCGGCCATCCTGCCTGGCTGGCCCTGGGCGCCCAGAGCCTGCGTGATGTGAAAAGAGGTGCCATACAGGTGACTCAAGCAGAGGTCCCCAATCACACTACTCAGAAAAACAAAACCTTGGATTTAGACAGAGAGAAGCAGGAGAGGGGGGCAAGTCCCAAAGTGAAAATGCTCTTATTAAGTCCCTCTGGCAGTTTGATTAAAAGGACTTCAAAGAAAGCGCCTCGGATTCCAAGGGGCCACTGGCAGCACTGCCCCGAACCCACATCCGGTTCCTCTCCCTCCTGCTCCCCCCCCTGGTCCCTTCCCTCCACCTGCCAGTCTGCATCTCTACTTCGGTCCTGGTGGAATGTGAAGTACTCACTTCTCCCTCTCTGTTCACTTAGCAATGGGTTTTCTAGTCTGTTTTCACTCATTCTTCCCTGAAAGAGAAAGAAGTCTTGGAAGTTGTCCCTTGAGACCCCACAAAACAGAGAGGTCCGTCTTGGTCAGCAGAATCGAGTCACACGCACACGCGGACGTGTTCTAAATTCACATTATGTCATCCCTCAACAACCCCAGCCGGAGGAGCTACGTGGGGTGGATGCCGAGGTCGGGGACCGCGGGCCACGCTGTCAGGGCGCCCCACCCAGGCTTGGCCCGCCGCACCCAAGGGCATCCCAGGGCCCCCCACCCCCAACCCGCGATCTGGGAGCCTCCAGTCCAGCGGTGGTGGCTGGCTTGCCCACGGGGCTCACGAGGTCGCGGTGACGCCGCCCCCATTTCCCCAGGTGCCTGCGAAGCCCAGGCAGGCGCGGCATGGGCCCGGAGCACTGACGTGGGGAACTTGGCCCCGACGGCTCCACGTGAGCGCGCGGCTCCCGAAGGCTCCGTGCACACACTTCTCTAACACTTTTGTGCATCATCTGATAAAGGCTCACTGATTGTGACAGGAGGTCTCCGACGTTGGGCTTACAAAATGGTCACAAGCCTCGCAAGTCTTTTCGATAAACCTAGTCAGCCTGATGTCCTTCTCCGCTCCCTGTCTAATTGGTGTAAAGTTTGGAGGCCTGAGTCCTGTATCTTTCATCCGGCTTATTGCGTCCTCTCCTTTGACATGGGGTCAAGGTTCACATTCGCATCCGATTATCAGAGCGCAGCGCTCATTAAGCGGGGGCCTGCCTCGCTCCAAAATGAGTAAGCTGGAGAGAAAACTCAGCCCATTTACTCAGCAGATTTTAGCATGTTTAGGAGGCCTGAATGTCACCCGGCAGTGCTCTGCGCTGAAGAGTTTCAGACATCTCCAGCTGATGATTAATTGTGAGTGATGGGAAATAAAATCCAGTAAAGCCAGCTGCTTGCCATGGTCGGCAAAATGACTCTAATGGATATAGGCTGCCAATTTTCCAGTTTTACTGGCAAGTCTTCCAAGTGTAATTAAGGGAAGTTATAAATGATATGGAAATCTATCAAGTTCCATTTATTTTCAGAGGACTCTTTCCCCAGAGACTTTTATCTTCAAGCTTATAGTATGCTTTGTTGTGCTAATGATTTAAACCCCTTCTTATTTCTGATTAAAGCCCCCAATATCCTTCTCCCAAGTTCGCTTCCCTCCTTCCCCAAAGATGAAAAGACACAGACCCTTCTCCAGCACACGTCCCTCTTGGAAAGCACGCGAAGACGGGGACACGTCTGGCAACTTGTATCGTGCTGACTGCGAATGCACGAAGAAGGCTCAAAGAAAAGTGCAGGAAGAGCGCGAGCAGAGAGGGGGGAAGAAAGACCTCCACCAAACATAAAAGGGAGCCCCCAAAAGTCCAGACTTGAAAGCTGTGCTCGAGGGCAGACATTCATCAGAAGGTGGTGTAGCTCACTAATGTTATTTGATTTGGAATAAAAGCATGAAAATGATGGCAAAGGCCTAAAATTGGAGATGTAAAGGCTGACTGCACAGTATCCCATTTCTCAATTTCATCCTTCAGAGCCACAAAATGGGGGTGATACAGTGCCGGGATGAGGTTTACAGTAACAGCTGTGCTCTTCCCACACAGGGGAGGCCCTTCTAATGGGTGAAGGTCTGTTTGGAACAGACGGGGAGAAACAAAACAAGGTTCCCTATTAAGAGTGTGCAGTCCTATTTCTGATAAAGAAAATGATTACGGGAGTCGGCTTTCCTCTGAGATGGGTCCTACCCTCTTTTGTCGTCCAGAACCAGGGCTGTTTTAAAGGTGTTATCCTTTAAGTGGAGGAGAGAGGACATAATGTCACGGAGGGTTTTCCCCCTGTAAGCCTCCTCTCCGGCAACTGTAAAGAAGGCCCCGGAAACGGTGCCAGTGGCATATGGCTTTCTACTGTGCTAAACATTCACACAAAAGACAGGTTCATCAGTCATTGTGGTATCTGGATAAAAAATTAGCTCCTGATGGATGGTATTTTGAGCTTACCTGCTGCTAGTACATTACCAGAGAAACACAGGTTTTGAAGCCCACATGACATTAGAAACTGCAGACCATGAAATACGACACGTGCAGGAGCACATAATGTACGCCAGATTATACACAATAATAAATAAGCTATTTAAACCCTCTGCCTAAAATTGGGCCCGCTGCAAGGAACCCTGGGTCACTTCTACGCAGGCCAATTAATGCACAGCATCTGCTGTATAGAAGCAGGGCACGCAGCACTTCCGAATGATTTCAGCAATTAAAAGAAAACTGTTTCC